CACATCATCATCACAACAACATCATCATCAACAACAACATCATCATCAACAACAACATCATCATCAACAACAACATCATCATCAACAACAACATCATCATCAACAACAACATCATCATCAACAACAACATCAATAACAACAGCAACATTAATAATAACGACGACGACAACAACAACTAAGCCAACAATCATGACAATGGCAATCACAACACCAACAACTTTATCATCAACATTCATCACCAACATTTTCATTAACAATAATAGCATCATCCAAACAACATCCACAACAAATAATAATGATAAACTAATAAATGAATAAAAAACACTTCGGAAGAGCCAAAATAAACACATAATCATAATTAGCTGGATAAAATATTCAAAACCAGCTAAAAAAATTATAGTTAAGCTGTTATCATTCTTACGGTGAACAGTTAACATATCAATTTAAGTCCGTTGTTGTTTTATTATTTCAAGTCTGTTGTTGTTGTTGCCGTTGTTTTGTTATTTTAAGTCTGTTGTTGTTGTTTCACTATTTGTTGAAATATGCGTAAGAGTTAACAAAAAATAAAGTAATGCCTTGCTTGCCTGGTCTAAAGTTCATCTCTCTCTCTCTCTCTTTCTTTCTCTCTCCTCTCTCTTTCTCTCCTCTCTCTCTTTTTCTCTCTCTACCTTTTTTGTTGTCATAAAACCGTGGTTAAAACCAACTAAACAGTTTTTAGCAAAAAGCAGCAAAGCCTCAGCTACCCAGCGTTCATACTGCCACTACAACTGCTACTACTACTGCTACAACAACTGCAGCTACAACCACTGATACAAATACACATTTCTTTGTCAACGCAACTACACTTACAGACAATGGCGATGTAGTTTTTGTTAAATTTGATAAATTTTAAATCTTTGTTAAAAATGTTAAATTTTGTTACTATTATTACTGCTATTTGTAGTAACTGCTACTACTTCTTTTAACCGTTGCCACTTAATAAGTAATACTGACATATGTTACGACTGGTGATACTACAAGTACTGTTCTAAAATCACTCAAATATCGCCGCTATGCTACAGCCACAACTGCTACTGCTGCTACTACTGCAGCTACTGCTTTTCTTTTTAACATTATTGCTCTTCTCTCTCTCTCTCCCTTTCTCTCCTTCTTTCTCTCTCTTTCTCTCTCTCTCTCTCTTTCTGGTTTGTTCTTTCAGCTAAATGAAATGTTTTAAAATAACGAAATGCTACCAANAAACAACAACAACAACATTAGCAACAATTAAAACAACAAATACAAACAGTACAGTAACTGAGGTAGCATAAATATAACAAAATGAAATGAAACCACAACAACAAACATATGAAACAAACAAATGACGACCAACAACAACAACAACATTAACAGGGAAAAACAAATTTGCAACAAAGAAGAAACAAAGGAATCCTCGATAGCATCTATCAATCTATATGTAAAAGCTTTCATACATACACACAGACATACATACATACATACATACATACATACATGCATGCATGCATACACACATACACACACAAACACACACAAACACACACATACATGCATACATACATACATTTATCCACAAGTTTAATGTAACTTATTTTAAGTTTCCTTAATAAAAGAAATAATAATAATACATAAATACATACATACACACACACATACATACAAACATACATACGTTGTAAGATGCACGCAAATATGTAAGCGAACTAAAGCAATTTATGTGCCAACAGAATAATGAACAACAAAAACAACAACAACATCAGCAACAACATCAACAACACTAATGTCAACAATAACAAGAAAATAATGACTCTGATATGATTTATTATTAAATAGTTTTTAACTTCAAAACGAAACGAAATTTAATTTTTATTTTATTGCTATTTTTTAGGTGTGTGTTTGTATGTGTGTGTGTGTGTGTGTTTGTGTATGTGCGCGTGTAGTAGCATTTCTGATAATGTCATGCGAGTTATGTGGGAATATTTATTTCATTCAAATAATGATGAAACTTTCAAAAGAATTACACATTTAAATAATGCAGCAGAGTTCATTCATTTCTGGTGCTATTCAACTTATTCTCGTCTGGAAAAACAATTTGATGAGAAATTAGTGTAAAGGTTTCATCATTTTGCCTCCTTTTCATTGCTATAACAATAATAACATTATTATTGTTATTATTGTTGTTGTTGATGTTATTGCTATAGTAATAGTAATATAGTAATATTAATGTTACTATATTACTATAATATTAATAGTAATATTATTATTAGTTGTGCTTCCATAGCTATTATTATTGTTATTATTATTATTGTTGTTATTGTTATTATTTTATTATTGTTATTATTATTGATATTATTTTTATTATTGTTGTTGGTGTTGGTCTATTGCTAATACTGCCGATGAAATTTTCAACATAACTCAACTATTTATTGATAATATAATTGCCATTGTCGCGAAAGCCACTGGCATAATGGTGATAATTATAATAATTATAATTAATTATCATAATTTCATAATAATTATTAAAGACGATGACGATGATGACGACAACGATGATGGTGGTGGTGGTGATAACGACTTGATTGAAACAAATTAAGAATAATTGAATAAAATGTGAATAATTATTATTTTTTATTATAACCATAATTATTTATATATTTATTTATTATGATCATCTTCTAATTATTTGTATCACATCCCTTATTTCATTGTCTTTCTACAGCGATCATGAACAGCTGATTATAGCACGCTAAATATGCAAATGTTATGCGTGCAAGCGAACAAAAAAAGCAGATAAATTGGTGAATTAATAAGAAAATAATGAATAAAAGTCATTTTTTGGTCTGATTGACTGCAAGGCAAACAAATGAGCAGCTGAATAATTTTTTTTCGGCATAAAATTAGTTTTTTCCATTTATTTTTTTGTTCTACAATTCAGAAATTTCCAACATAGAGTTATTTTTAACAACTTATGAATATTGAGTGATCACTTAACTCCGCCCATGCACCATCAAGTAAGAATTTCAGTGTTTGCGATAGACATTTCATCATCAGCTGACGCGAGCTTTTATAATGTATAAATTCAAAAATTTTTATGCAAAAAAAGGAAAATTTTAAAAATATATTATTTACTTTGAAAAAACTAATGAAATTGAGTCAAAAACAAAGTTTAAAATATCTAAGCATAGTAAACAAAGAGATTTTTCTAAAGCGGACGACCTTGGCATTTATTGCAGACCGCATCACTTCTAATGTATTCATGCCTTCAAGTCAACAAAAATCAGCTGTTCGATTGCTTTGTTTTTTATATACACAAAAGCGTTCATACATTTGTATATATTTTTGCATACATTCACGTACACATACATACAGAACATACACTCGAACGTTACAAACACATATGTATGCATTTGTACGTGCAATGTATTCATATGAACTCATTGAAATTATATATGTAACTAGGCTTACTGTGTGTGTGTGAAACAGTATAAAAGGGCCCAAGAGTAACCATTCAGTTATAATTAACAAAAGCTACTAAGGAATATAATGTGCTACATAGATTCAATTTAAGAACTTTGATACAATAAATATAATTTAAAAGATGTTTTAAGATATTTAGTAATAGAAAACAAAATTATCACACGTAAGAATTAAATAGGCCATAATAAAGAATGTTTAACTAACTCAATAAGATAAGTAATCCAACCAGTTAAAAAGTAGGTGTGCAAATGCTTGTTAAAAAAAATTTGATGTTCAAAGATTTTAACTGAATTTAAATTTGAAGAAGTGTTAGGCTCAAAAAACTAAAAAATTCATTTGCTAGATTTATGAATAAATAACAAAAATAATATTTTTAAACAGCATGATTATAGCAGCGATCAAACAAAGAGGAAATAAGAACAAAGAAGGAACAAACAAGCTAACAAAAACGAGCAAAGAACGAACGAACAAACGAACGAACGAACCAAAATGTTGAGAAAATTGCCAGGACATTTCCAAATTGATGACTCCTTTCACATTTTAGGGCAGGGAGCATTTGGTGCAGTCTTTCTGGGACATGACAACAGGGTATGGGTTATATTTATAATATAATTAATTATGACAATAATCATGCGGTCATGTGTTTGTGTGTATGTGTGTGCGTGTGTGTGCGTCCATATCTTGTTTTATTCCCTTTTTATAAGATTGTTTTTTCTCGAATATAAGACGAGGATGAATTATGTTACTCTATTTCTTTGTTTTGTTACCATTAATGATTAATATAATAATTATAGAAGAAATAATATAATTTAAATGATCACAGCCGTCATGCTATGGCTATGTTATGTTATGTATTATATATGCACAGCAAACGTTTGCATGATTGAATGAATGAATATAAGAATGAATGAATGATTAAATAAAAGATTGAATGAATAAATGAATGAATGAATGAACGTATATAACACATACGCTTACCTTAATTATAAATCTAACCAAAATATTTTAAACTAAAATAATTTTCATTTTTACAGACTCAAAATTGCAAAGTTGCCATTAAGATGGCTCAGAAGAAGGGCTTCACAGACAAACAGCTCTTAAAAGAGAGAAAGATATTGGAGGTCGGTTGGTTGACTGGTTGGCTGGTTGATTGATTGAATGGTTGTATGGTAAAGTGGCTGGTTTGTTTGTTGATTATTTGTTAACTGGATTATTGACTGGTTGATTAGCTGACTGGATGACAGGAAGAAAATATTAATTTATAAATTTAAAAATATTTATAAATATAAAATTAAAAGTTGGTGATGTTTTTTTCGGAAACAGGATTTGAAATCTGCTGCACACAAAAACTTGGTAGCCTTCCTGTCTTTCGAGGTTTGTTCATTATTTCTTTTATAACTACCGTACAATGAAAATCATTATCACCAACATCAAAATTATCATTATTATCATCATCATCATCCCCCTTCATCATTATCATAAACATGCATATGACAATGACATTGAATATTTGCATATTAATTAGTTCATTCGTTCATTTGCATATTAATTAGTTCATTGGATGTTTTGCCTTGACATGTTTGTTGCACAAGTGTATATTATGTATTTATGTGAATGTATTTGTATATGTATGTGTCTGTATTTGATAATATATATATGTGTGTGTTTGTGTGTACGTGTAAATGTTTATTTAAAATTAGAAACGTGTGTGTGTGTTCGTATGCTTGGGATTGTATGTGTGTATGTGATGTATGTGTGTGAGGTTTGTTGATGTGTGTGTGTATTTGTGTTGTCGGTATTGTAAATGTTCCTAGGGAAATGGTTTCTCATTGTATTATTATAGCTACAGATGTATCAATATATGATAGTGCAGATGTCTGCATTTTAATTTATAACAATAAACAAATCGGTGTGTGTATTCATGTTTTTGTGTATGTGAAAGTGATGTGTGTGTGCGTGTGTGTAGGTATGTGTGCGTGTGTTTTATATTTTGTGTCTGTAAACTGCGACTTGATGGTTCAATTTTTTAATGGCTTAATGGTTATTGTGTAATTAATTGGTTTTATGAGCTGCATGCAAATTATATTGTATTTGAATCTTATGTATTGTATTGTATGTATCACATTGCAACATTTGTATTCTAATGTATTTTATGTATTGTATTGTATACATTGTTGGTTTCATGTATTTTGTATAGAGCGTTTTGTATTGTATTACAATGTATTGCATTGTGTGCATGTATTGTATTGTTTTGTATGCTCTGTATTGCATACGTTGTATCATGTTTTTTAGCCTTATAAACTGCGCACATTCTTGTTTACCCATACGTCTTGATCGTGTTTACCTTGATGTTGTTAAAAATTGAACCCCTTTCTTGTTGCTTATGTTGACATTGTTTGTGATAACATTCTTGGATATATTTTTATTTCTTTTATTTGTTACGTAACGTGGGAATTGTTTGTTAAGTGTTCGAAAATGTTTAAATTTCTGTTCATTTGCTCTCAATAAATCGATTAATCTGATTGAATTTTAATTAAAATAAATTATATACGTTCTAACATTTAATTTTCCAATCTTAACTTTTTCTACCATTTCAATTTACGGTTCTTCATGTTTTGTTATTGATTTCGTTAGGTCTGTTTATGTTTTTATTTGTATTTTGGTATGCTGTTTGTATGTTTACGTATGTGAGTATGTGTGGTTATCTGTGTATGTTTGTGTTAGTATGTATTTATGTGTTTGCCATTATGCTGTTTACTAGTATGCATAGGACTCCTTAGGTTCACCTCAAAATATTTTTGTTGGTATCTGGTTGCAAACTATTTTTGTTCCACATCATAGCTCGCTTTCATTATTTTTTATTGTTAGTTTCGGTTTTATAATTTGTGTACATTGCGGAACCTACAAAGCAATTCAAAGAAAGTCGCATTAACTTTATAATGTATGCAAAAATTGTAGAAGGCTTGTTGGCCAAAAACTGGGTTTACAGCTTCTGTAAACAGATTGTTAGGCACGAATTAATCTTTATAACCTGCCTGTGTGTGTATGTGTGAGTGGTGTGTGCGTGTGTGTGTGTGTGTGTGCTTGCTTGCATATGTAAGAGATTACCAGGGTAATTCGTCATAGCTCTCAACTCAACTCTTGTTATTGTTTACTGACATCAAATTGAAAAAAACCTTTTTTTGGACACTAATCTCTTTCTCTCTCCTCTCTAATGCTCTCTCCTTAACTCTTTATCTCTTTATTATGATACATACTAAAACTAAATAATTTCATTCAATTTATTTTATTTACACTTACAGGAAATCCCAGATTACTTCGCCTTTATCACAGAGGTAGCTACGTTTGTTTTCCGATCAGTTGAATTTGGTTATGGTTATATAAATTAAATGCTACTGCGAAAGTATTAGCAATAATATGGATCATAACTTAATTATATTAAAAAATAAATTTTTTTTTCAGTATTGCAATGGCGGAGATTTTGAATCTTTCATGAGAGGTACAAAATTATCTTTAATAATGAATAAATAAATATAGGAATTATCGGCCCCGGTGTTTTCGGTCCCAGTGAAACCTGGGACCGAAAAATCCTATATTGAAATTTTTGATCTAAAATTCCGGGACCGAAAATTCCGAATACCGATGACTATATATAAAAAATAATATTACCATTTGTAGTAACTAATTATCGATGATCACATTTTTGACTGTGAAATACTTACATGAAATGAATTATGAATAACTGTGAAATGAATTATGAATAACTGAAACTTGAAATATTATTTTTTTTATAGCAATGATGCCAATTCATAATGACACAATCGCAATGTTCCTCAGACATATGTGTAAGTTTTTTTGCCAGCTTGGTGATTGGAATGATGTTGATAAAAAATAATGGTGGCGAAAAATGTTATGTTGGGGTGAGTGAGAGTAATTATTATGGACGTGTAAATGAAAAAATGGTGGATGATGCTATCTTTTCATCCAACATTTTCACCGTTATCATCATCACCATTTTATATTTATCGTCATCATCGTTCTTTTTATCGTCACTGATATGACATTACGCAAGATTTTATTATGAAACAAATAACATCAAAATAAAAATAAGATGAAGATAAATGTAACGTCAGATCAGCATGACAACAACACATCCGAATAACATCACCATAATAACATCACAACAACATCAACACAATGACATTACCACAATAACATCACCACAATAATCTGACATGAACAGCCCAAGGCATGCAGGCCCTCTCCTCCCACAACATTGTACACAGAGATCTGAAACCAGCCAACATCCTGATCCATCACGGACCATCGGAAAGTGTTTTTAAAATCGGTATGCGCTTTTTAAAATATTTAATGCTGATTGGTCTAATATGTAGGGTCATTGTAATAAATGGTCTTTGGTGATTGGCCCAATGTAGATTGAGGTTTTTTTTGGTTGGTTAGAAAGTATGTCAAATGAGGATCATATACAATTAGCTTTAATTGCTTTCATTTATTGGCGAATCTCATTCTTTATATTGATTTAACTTTTACATTTTTAAAATTCCATTTCAGCTGACTTTGGTTTCGCCAGAGTGCTGAATGAAGGGTTCATGGCGGCCACAATATGTGGATCTCCCTCTTATATGGTAAGGCCTTTCGGTTTTGCTACTATTTCTACATTTACATATACAGATATTTATTTGATATTATACAATATGTGTATATTATTTGGGATATTTTACACAAGATTATGTTTTTGCATGGCACATCAGTGGTTTTTATTCTAAAATATAAATCGAATCAGGCATAAGTACTTTATATAATCAAAATCGTAAATTTGCTCTAAACTATGAGATCATGTTGCAATTCGTACAATTATAATGTCATTGATTGGATTTAGTTAAATCTTGACAACAATCAATAATAATTATGATTCATCAATAATTATAATACATTTACACAAAAAACAGGCACCTGAAATACACTTGAACAGTAGGTACGACTTTAAGGCTGACCTTTGGAGCATTGGTCAGTCATAATTTAAAATTTAATTCATTATTTTAGAGTTAAATAATTTTTTTAATATAATTTAGAGCTGTTATTAACATAACATGATATAAATTAATAGAAATAAAGATATAATTTGGTATAAATTATTAATAACATTGGCATAATATTTGATAACCTTCTTTGATCGGTAGTTATTGTAATTATTTATTTATTTAATCAATAAACTACTCAATATAACAAAATAAACAATTATGGTACAATTATAATGAAGTTATTAATTTGGCCACAGGAGTCATAACTCACCAATGCATGACCGGAAAGTTGCCATTCCAGTTTAAAACACAAGAAGAGCTACGATGGTTCTTCAGACATCGCGAAATAAACATCGAGTAATTATAAATAATTTTCATAATTTATAAGAAGAATTAAAATAAATTTACGCTATTATTAGTATGTATATACTTGTTATACATGATTATGAGGAAGCAATAATAAGTTTACTTATTTAAATACCAAAATTTGTACTCACACTATTTTGATTTGAAAAATCGTATTCCTATACTAAACCTAATGAATTTGCACTACTTTTAAGTATAAATCAGTCGCTTAAAATAATTTGCTAAATATCCTTTTCGATAATACGTTAAATTCTATTAAATTTCTATTAAATTTTTAAGGCAATTAAATAACTATATGAAAAAAATTAATAGATTTCCCGAAATTGCCAACTCGGACTTGAAGGATCTTATTTCTGGTCTTCTGGTGAAGAGACCAAGAGACAGGATGAATTTTGGTATGTGTTGGTGATGATGGTGGTGAAGATGACAACGAGGATAATTTGGATGATAAATTATCGCCCATAACGTTTTTTCATTTTTCTAATCTTTTTTTTCAGACCAATTTCTGGAACACCCCTTCTTGCAGTTCGGCACAAAATCTGGTAAATAATTTCAACATTTGAAAGTTTTCTTTCACTACAATTGTAATACGTCTCATGCTTATGATTAAAAATCTTTAATAAAAGAAAAAATGTTTATAGATAAAGGATTTGTCATTCCGGAGCAAATGGAAGAGCAGAGGAGAATTAAATTGAAAAAGTCGCTACAAAAGGGAGGTGAGGATCTAAAAAAGGAGGAAGAGAGTGAAGATGACGACGAAGTTTTCATGAAAGACTTCGAAATGGTCAATGCAGATCAGATTGGTAGGTTTTTTTGGCTAACTGATAACAGAAAAATCACGACACGTACAAATTATTGACGACAAATAAAGCGTTGTACATTCTTCAGCTACGAAAATTATTTACAACAGATGAAATACCGAGTCAATCTCTCCCGAGAACTTCCACCGTCGCCAGGCCCAGCGTGATGGGGGCCCTCAAGTACATTGGCGGATTGCCCATGCAAAACCTAAACAAACTTCTGCAGTACGCCAGCATCGTAGCGCCAGCAAAAACAACCCCGTCGGTAACAAAAAACAACCGGATAAGATCTGAAGGTTTATATGAATAAAATTTTGGGCAAACTTAGAAAGTGAAGTTTTTTCATAAATTTCTAACGTAACGATGTTGATTACGACAATGATGATGACGGCCGTGATTTTGTAATAATATAATAGGAAGTGATGATGGTGATGATGCTGGCTACATCGGCAGTTTCGACCGAGAGATGGAAACTCCAGAGGTAGGAGTTTTCGTATCTATAGTAATTAGAAAAATTGCAAGAAATAATATAATACATTGGATAGAAATAATAAATAATAATAATAGCAATAAAAACAAATATTAAGTATGGAATGGTATTAAATATTTGTTTTTTGATATATATATATATATATATATATATATATATATATATATATATGGGTCAGATACATATAAATTATTTCTAATCAGTTGACCTCCTTGTCCAAGTCATGTAATGCCATCGACATTGTCACTCCGCCCAGTGGTTAATATACTTCAGTAGTGTTAATTAATTAATTAATATTATTAATTATTATTCAATACTGTTAAATGTCATTTAGAATTACCAAGTATTCATTCAATATTGTTAAATATTTATTATTCAATATTGTTGAATATTATTTATCCGTTATTCTGTGCCAATATCAATAGTTTAGTTAGTATAACCGTTTCCTATTCTTCTATATCCTATATATCTTCCTATATATCCTAATCCTTTTATATCTTTTATTCTTATATATCTTCCTATATATCCTTATCCTTCTATATCATATATCCCAAGATATATTCCATTCACGTGGGTATTTCTAATTTTAACAAGCTAAAATTTGCTTTTTCCCCCTTTGAAGAGTAAATTTATTAGCGATGGTAGATAATGGGAACGACTAATTTATTAAAAAATTTTTTTCCAGTGAAGTTTATGATGACCGGATCATCTTCCTTCTCTTCCCTGTCCAGTGGCTCCAGCGACAACCTGCACGACACTGGTCAGTTGGATCGCTTCTGATGTGTTGATGTGAATGTGTATGCATCTGTATTGTTAATGTGCATGCTGACGGTGTGATGTTATAAATGTCCTGACGTTGTGTTCTTCATATTTTGGTGATGTCACAAAAGTTACAAGCGAGTTGTTCATATTTGTATCATCATGTTTAAATGATGTTGATGAAAATAATTGAAGTTCATGAGTTAGAGAGGTTACAATGGTTAACAACTAGTTAGTTAATGAATGAGAGCATCAATTAATGTTATGCTGTAGTAATTGTTATGCTATTGTAATTAATGTTAACAATTGTAATGAATGGTAGGCAACAGGCAACCTCGTCGCCATTACCAACAACGCCAGCAAGAAAAACAATTGCAGCTTCTTGAGCAAAAAGAGAAGCGGCATCACCAGCGTCTACTCCACAGCAGGAGCCTGATGACCGTTAGTTGAATTTTTTGAATTTATGAAATGCAAAAATTTTTTCATTTGCTGAGTGACGTAAATTTTTACAAGTTAAAACATACAATTCTTGGTATGGTCAATAAATTTAAAAGTTTTCAAAACGTTAAAATTAACAGAAGGAACAGATCGAGTTTATCGATAAACTTGATTTCTTAGTTCAAGTGGGTTTCTGCATGAGGAAAGTAGCTGACGACGGCTGCAGGCTGGGTGAGGAGGAGGAGAATCGACTGAGGGCACGGAGGGGCTCCGACGTGGAACTATGCGTTCAAGCTCAAGGACGTTTTCTGCAGCAGTCGAAGTCCATGTCGGCTCTCCACGTTGCGTCTCAGCACCAGAAAGAACAACTGGTCCTTTACATGCGGGCGCTTGAAATTCTACATGAAGGCATTGAGTCAGCGAAAACAGCTCATGGTGGCAAAAGATTCGATGGAGTTGGCCTTCAGAACGGTGGGTGATGTATGTGGCAGTTTCTATTAGTTTTGAAGTTTTAAATTATCAATAAATATGCTTAATGTGGATGTTAATCGTTTACATGCATCCTAAAATGATCATAATTCAATTTTTTTTCTTTCAAACAGTCTTAGACAATCTGATATTTTGCTACCAAGAGTGCCACAATGCCACTAACAGGCTGAAGCAGAAAACGCCTGTCGACAGGACGATAAACGTTGAGAAAGTTCTCTACAGACACTCTCTCACGGCTGTTAGTATCTTACTTCACTTCATTTGTATTGCATACCTTGAATGGTCTTGTTATTTTAATAGAATATAATGCAATTTTATAATTTATGCAGATTGATAATTCAGTCAGGATTGCAAAATATGGGCCTTCTGAAATGGTTTATAGTTTTTTTTTTCATTTTATATTTTTTGTTTGAGGCTTGTCATGTTATTTTCATCGCACCATTTACAATTTCTTTTTTTTCCTAAATTATTTGTCGTAACCTTGGTTTCGATGTAATTTCGTATTAAATATCAATTTTTTTTCGACTGACAGTGCATGGAAGAATTGAAACTGGCCTACATCCTGCTACACTGGATCGAATGCATGGCTATACTGGAGCCTGATAAAAGGATCGTTAGAAGAAGTCAGTGCCTCTGAACAACTTAGAAAAACAAATTTTAAATCAAGGAATTAATCTTTTTATATAATATACCTTTCTAATTTTGACTGCTTATATTTGTAATTAAATAATATTAATAATTGTTGTAAAAAATATTTACATTGAAGTATTAATTAAAAATTTTTAGTCAAACATGAAGTCGAAGCAAAAATTAGAGAATTGGACATGGAGGGATTCGTGTACTTATAGCCCCCCTCTCTCATCTCGAGAATTTTACAATGTACAGATCTATTTACTTCTTTTTTTACTTTGAATCGTACACATTTGTGTACATTTTTTAACTTTATGTATTTCCATTCTTCCATTATAGTGAATATATAATTAAATATTTATATCTATAAATATGTAATGTATATATATATATATATAAATATATATATATATATATATATATATGTATATATGTATACATTATATACTTATTTTTTAGTTGTAAATGAGTGTTTGTAGTACCACACATACTCAAAATCATCGAAATGTAAATCTATCATATGTTGATGTGTCCTATGTATTTATAATTTAACCGTGTACATAATGTATAAATTTTAATCCGAAAAACTCAGGACTCTTTGATAGCTATTTTCTTTACTTTTCATCCTTGCAAAAGACAGTCTCAAGATTTTTTTACGGTGATGTGTGTTTATATGGAATGCAAACTTTAGCGAACTGTATCATTATTGATAATAATTATAATTATATTAATAAATATTTTTATATTTATATTGATAATTGTCATCGTTATATTGTTATTATTACTTATTTCATATTAATTGTGATAGCTCAGATTCATCTCAAAAGTCAAGAAATCTAATTTAATTTTTTTTCACCAAGTCATTTTTTTTATCAGAAACAGTTTCAGAAAATATATTTGTTCAATTTTAACAAATATAAACTTTAAAAATTTTTTTTTATTTATCTGAAAATATTAAATGTTTTAATGTATTGATCTTTGCCTTGACGTCGTTTGGCTATACATTTTTGGATTCATTTGACAGTTTTAAAAATAAAAATTTGTAAATTGTATAAATATCGAGTGTAATTTTCTCGATTAGAAAGTCAAGTTTGAATGGTGAAGTTTTGGATAAGGATTATCGCAAGTTAATTATTTTACCTCCAATTATATTCTCTTGGTAAATTTATTTTCCATGTTTTAAATTTTATTTCATAGCTACTGTCAACACTACATTCATTTAACGATGAAATCATCATTATAAGAGTACCTACAGCTGTGTATTGTGTTTTAAATTCGTTATTTTTTAATCTGTCGTTGACTAATTAGTTTTTAAATTTTTTTAAATGTAAAAATTGACTACGAAAATTATCGGAGAATGTTGTCTGATTGGCGTCTATGCATTCATGGTGCTTATCGATGGAGTGTTACGATCTAGTGTAATTACTCTAAGTGTTTCGTGTGTGATAGTTGTACAATTTTTTCTTTTTGGCAGAATTTTGTTAAAATCTTCGATTAAAATTATATTTTGTAAAATAAATTACGATTTGAGAATGCCGTTGCTTATTTTTTTTTAATTTTTTGTAACTTTCTGATGAATTCGGCTGGGAAACGAAAGAGCAATAATTTAAACTATTTCCAATTATTTATATTTGATTAAAAATTTATTTGTGTCATAAATTCTTTTGTTTTGAAATTTCAGATTGACATTTGGAACTAAAGTTTAGCATTCACTATTTTATTTCATAGGTTTTTTTTTTATTCTAAAAAATTATTTACTAGTGAGTTTCTGATGTTTAAAGATGACGGATTTTTGCGTTAAACATAAGTTTTGCATTAACTTAATGTTTAATTACATTTAATTTAATGTTTATGTTTTAATTTTTTGATAAGATTCATTAATATCAAAAACAAGCAAATTTAGTTGAGAACTGTTATGCAGTTCATTCAAATCAACTTATGTAACTGATCCACATTAGCTCGTGGTAGTTAAGTTCGATAATTTTAGAATTTTGGAGAATAAAATAAACCTAGAAAAATGAAAATTTCAGGAATCCCAGTACAATTGTGCCCACGAGTGCCCAGTACAAGTCGAAGACTTGTACTGGGCACTCTTCATTCAATCCACTCAAGTATCTACACAAATATTCATCTTTTATGTACATTCGTTTCAGTGAAAATGGTTATAATTATAAATTGTTCGATCGTTTCATATGCTATCATAGTATTTCACACATTTGAACACTGGCTTGGATTCTGCGTGGACGTGTTTGCGGTTAAATTATTATGTTTTTTTTTTTGTAGTTATAGTTTGCGATCCGGTAAAATGACCATTCTCCGTCTTTATGCAGCAATGGTTATTTGGTTTATTTTTGGTACCATCAGAGGTCCGAGGCAGATTGAGAATTGTTTTATTCAAGGTTAATCTTACATTTGCAACACAAACAAAGTCATGCTTTCTTTGTTTTTGAAATCACAAGTAAATATGGAGAATATGAAGTTGTTTGTGTAAAAATATATAAAGAATGTGATTAATAGGATTTTTGTACGTTTCGAATAAAAGAGTGTATAAGATTACCATTTATAAACTGAGATACATTCGTATTGTAATTTATGTTAAAATTTTATATTTGAACGTTACTTTCTTTAATTGCGTACATTTTGAAAAAAGACAATAGCGTACAATCGTTGATGAATTCTGGTTGAAATTTTTTCTGTTTAATTTGTTTGAGATCAGTTGTGTTTTGTAATATTTTAGCGATTTATACCTTTATATGTTTTTAAAAATTAATTTCCTCCTTTGTGGAAATAAAAATGGATTTAACATAACTTTGTTGTTCAACTTTTTTGAACATAATTAACAAATTTGGACAAATAAACATAACTTTGTCAAAAATATTGCTGAAATTGAGCACACGGTCTTAGGACTTTACTAATGGCTTGCGTTAATATCATCTATCTATTGTTAGCTGTTAGGAATCATTCATAATCATTGTTAAAATTCCGTTTGAAAAACATTTACATAATTAATCTTCGATACCCATCCAATACGACTAATTTGGTTTGGATGAATCCACAATGAAAAAATATTTTATTGGATTCTGTCAGATAAAACAACGCATCTGTCTATCAACACACAGATCGAAAGAAAGATTTAATTTTTCAGTCCAATTAATTCGTCCAACCGAATTCATCTTAACCCAGCAACAACAACAACTTCAACGGCAACATACACAGTTCCGATACCATCCCTGTTTTTCATGTCCTATCTTCAACAAAAGTTAAACTTTTTCAGAGATTCAAACCTGGGTGGAGGATTGGATAGCATATTTTCTAGTTACGTGACAATTATGCCTTACAATTCACCTACTCAAAACTGCTCATGGTGACAAAAAACGAAAACCATTCATCTGATAACTGTAAGTTTTATTCTAATCAATTTTTATCAAATGAAAAGCAATGCGCCACAATTTCTGATTTATTTTTAATAGTAATAATGAATGTATGTAAAGCTGAAGCTTACACGTAGATTAATATGTAAATTAACGTATGCCTTCCTTACTGACATAAACGAAGATATGTAAAAACAAACACACATGAACACACACCACACATTCGACGAACTAGATAGATACAGATTCAGAAGATAGCATGAACAGTCAAGAAACATGCTTATCAGTGAACAGATGGACTATCAACAACAACATTGTTTCAACAACAGTTTCAATCAAGAACCAAATCAATAAATTGAACTAACAGCCTGAGTTCAAACGTGGGCGGAAGATTGAATAGCATGTTAGTCAATTATGCAACAATTATGCCTTACAATTGCACCTACATGATGCACTAAATACATATTCAGGATATGAAGACAGCACGAGCAGTGACGAAAATGATTTTGACAACAAAAATGACAGCTGATTCAGTTAGTCAAAATAGGAAAATTGGCGAAGAAAAATCGCGATGAAACGTTATAATAAGATTACCCAAAAGATTGGAAAGACCAGGAAGTGAGAACTATTGGACAGTGATAACATAACGAAAATTATAACAAAGTTTAATAATAAAACGTTCTTTATTGTTACAAATTTCGCTATGTAGTACTGATTCTTCCACTCAGCATTCTCTACACAGCCACATGTGAATAACATCATCAAAGTTGCCGCAGAGTTGTGGCAGCAGAGGGCGAATAAGCACATAAAAAGTGAAAAGTTGATTTTAAATGAAATTTAAAAATTTCGGTTCAAAAAAGACGGAGGTAAAAAGACGGAAGAGGTTTTGATTTGGAAGCCTTCGAATCACATAACAATGGTTTTTGCGAGTTTGTCAGAAACTAGCACGCCGTGCTAAAAAAAATCGTTCACCTGTATGCCTCAATTAGTGAATCGTAACTCTTGAATAATTTGTTGAATTTCCGCTGTTAAATTTGTTAATTTTTGCTTTAAGTTTTGTTGAACATTATGTAGAATATATTTAAATATTAAATTTTGTATTAGAGAGTTTAATCTGGTGAAATTTGATTAAATTTTGAACTCGTTTCAAAAGTTGAAGTTCAACTGTTGAGCGTACGTACAATATACGCAAGTGACTGCAGGTTTCGTTTTAATCGATAAGCTAGACAATCTAACGTAATTAAAAATTTAAAAATTAATATTTTATAATTTAAGCGACATTAAATAACCTTTTCGTGTTATATGATTTACTGAAGACCCACACTTCACGGCCAGAACGTCGCTGATTCAGTTTTTGTTTCGAAATGCATCGAGAAATGAACAAATTTGTAATTCTTATGTCATAATAAAACATTGATCGATTTTATTAATGAATGACTTCAAGAAATGTTGTATACAATAGCCACAAAAATATTTCAATCAAGAAGCAACTGTCAATCAACAGTAATGAAAATTTAAAAAATATATTAAACAATCGATTATTCAATCACCAGTTTGATTGGACATTTCAAAAATCGTATTTCGACCTTTTGGCTGCAGGCCCGTCAGAGCCATAATCGAAATAATGTTTAGCGACGTCGGTCAAGAACTCCAGCTTAACAACCGTCACATCCCTCATGAACTCCTTGTCCCCACCTGAATGCACAACCTCATTGAAAACCACGTAATCGGCTGGTAGTTCCGTGTAGAGAACAGATGTGGGATGTATGCTCAAGCAGTGATCATCTCTGATTGTCCTGTAAACTCCCGATGGGTGGTACTTGGCTGTATTACAAAACAAGCCTGCCGCCAGGCATCGAATAATCCGTTCTGGATCATCTTCACAACTCTCCAGTGGAATTTTGAAACGACGCAGGTAATTAATCAATCTCTGCTCCAATTCAACAGCTCTCATCAGGCCTTTGTAATTTAGATAATTTTCCTTGCACCATCGTGGATTTTTATTAGAATTAATGAATGCTCTAAATACGTTTAAAAGCGTCAAATGGTCGCCTTGTGCCACTGAAAACTTTCTCTTCATCTTTTCCATCTTCATTTTTTTGTTGTGTGGCATGATAAAAACATTTTGGATTTGAGTCATTGAGCATATAGCTACAGCTTCTTTGGAGCATCCAAATCTTCCTGACATAATCAACATTTTACTGAAACATGGATTCAATGGAAACTCGGCCATCTGTTGACCAATCGGGTCAGTCAAGTGGCAGTTATCATCTAAAGCTTCCAGAGCATATAGCAATTCAAGTCCACAAAGCATTGCATCAACAGAAGGAGAAGAGAGGAAGTTGAATTTCAAAACGTTATCAATTCCAAGTGCTTTCAACTGTAATATGACACCTGCCATGTTGCTTCTTTGCATTTCTGGTACAGTTGCTTTGGGTAATTTTTCAAACTGCTCTTCAGGATATAGTCTGTAAACTTTACCAGCTCTAACGCGGCCAGCCCTACCGGCTCTTTGAGTTGCAGATGCTTGAGAAGTAGGAACAGTTATCAGGCAATCCAGGCCACATTTAGGATTAAATGCTTTAATTTTTGCAAATCCACAATCAACAACATATACAATCCCATTCAATGTGACCGATGTTTCAGCAATGTTGGTGGCTACAACGACTTTTCTGCTGTACTTACTTGGTCTCTCAAAAGCTTTCATTTGATCTTTAAATGGCAGACCAGCATAAAGAGGTATGATTTTTAGAAAAGGTTTGTCATCATCAGTCATTGTTGATGATCTACTCTTCAATTCTTTAACCACTTTCTCAACTTCTTCCTGACCAGTCACAAATGCCAGAACGTCACCTGGTTTTTCATGTGTGTGAATTTTTATTACAGTTTCGACCATGGCATCAAGATAGTTGGGAACAGGATCCAACTGATAGAAAATGTCTACAGGGTACATCCTGCCTTCAACAGTCAATGCAGCTACTGTATTTTTAGTTGGATCATCTGTTTCATTAGTATTGAAAAAGTTCATCATCAACTCAGCATCGATTGTGGCTGATGATACGATTAATTTTAACTCAGGTCTTTTTCTCTGAATTTTTTTTAACAACCCAATGACTATATCTGTATTAAGTGATCGTTCATGTGCTTCATCAATCATTATAATGCTGTACTGTTTTAGCAATGGATCTGACATCATTTCTCTAATTATAAGTCCATCTGTTACAAATTTTATCTTTGTTAACTTTTCAGAACAACATTCTTCAAACCTTACAGAATAGCCCACTTCCTCTCCCAAAGTCACACCTTTTTCATCAGCTACCCTCATTGCTAATGATACCGCTGCCATTTTTCTAGGTTGTGTGACGCAGATGCATTTGTTGTCCCCCGCCCATCCACTCTCAAGAAGAAATTGAGGAATCTGCGTACTTTTTCCACTTCCAGTTTCACCAATTATGATTAAGACAGAATACTTCTCTAGCAAATATAAAATATGTGTTCTATATTTGAAAATCGGTAGTCGTTGTCTCTGTTGTTCAATGGTGGATGAGTGATTAAAGTTGTATGTAATAATTCTCTCTTCACCAAAACCTGCTCTTTCTTCACCAATCTTTCTATCAATTGGTTGTGCCTCTGCTGATGTAAGATAATCATCATCATCTGCAGGTTTGAGAAATCCCTTGTGTCGTCTTTTCATTTCCATATTATTTTATTTCTGTTCAGTAAAAGGTGGGTTAAGCAATGAGAGGAATAAACAATGATTTGAATTCTGGAATTAAGAAGTTATAGTATTACAGAAATTAAAAAAACTGTTATACACTTTTGTAACTCACAAAGTTCTTTTTCAATGTCTGCTTCCGTATCGTTATCTTTGAAAACAAAATGAAATGTTATGTGATATTCTATTAATCAATAAATAATAAAATAAAGTATAAATCGGATTTATTAAATCCCAATCATGTTTTAAAAATACTACCAACAACACTTATTACATTTATATTTTCTACACCTGGCAATAGTAGTTCACTTTTACTTTCCAAGAATCCTTGTATATTATTTTATTAAATTTCGGTAATTATTAAAAAGAAGAAAAAGAATTATTATTAATAATTTTGGGTTTTTATGAACACAAAAACACAATTTATATAGAAACAAATTTTGCGAAAGTGCAACGAACTTGTGATATTTGATGATTGTAAAATATTGTTAGAAAATATTGTTGCCAAATCTGCTTTTGCTTTTTCTGGTCCTTTTTTCTGGAACTCTCTACCTACTTCTCTGACTACTTCTCCATCACTTGCGAAGTTCAGAGCGGATCTCAAGACTCATCTGTTTTCAAAATTCATTGAGGAGCGCTGTTGAACATCGCGGAAATAGCGCTTTATAAGCTAATTGATTGATTGATTGATTGATTGATTAGGAAAGCAAAGAACAGATAAAATAAATTTTGTACTTTTACTACTTTTTACTACTCTAATCACTTTTACTTTTACTTGCGAAGAATCTTTGTATTTTATATTATTAAATTTCGGTAATTATTAAAAAAAAGAAAAAGAATTATTATTATTAATTTTGAGTTTTTATAAACACATAAACACAATTTATAGATAAACAAATTTTGCAAAAGTGCAACGAGCATGTAATATTTGATGATAGTAAAATATTTTATTAAGAAAGCAAAGAACAAATAAAATAATCTCTCTCAGTAACGCGATCTCTTTCTAATCTGCTGTTCATGCGCGCTGTTAACGTTACTCACGGAGCATATTGGAGTTCAGGAAAATTGAAAACGGCTTTTTCATTTTTTATTTTTGTGTAAGTTTTTCATTTTTTCTTTTTTTTTAAAAAATTCAATTTTAAAGTTTTTGTTTTTGTTTTGTTGTTGTTACTTCAACGATAAAGAATTTTGCTGTCGCTCGCGGAGTGGTGTCCGCCATTTTTTTTGGCTGGGCTGGGCACGTTTTAAAAGCACTAATTGCGTTTGAAAAATATTCTCCGTGTTAATAACTTTTATTTTATGTGTAGTTTTAAAATTTTTTGTAATCCTCTCGAACTTTCTTCTAAAGTAAACACTAAACTTCGTTCTGTGTTTATATTTTATTTTATAATGAGTAAACATCCTACCCCGGGGGGGGGGGGAAACTGGACGCTAAACGAAGGTTGATTGATTGATTTATATATTGAGTGACAAAATCAGTGACAAATATGAAATAGGTTGTTTTCTCTGCCTAAAAAAAGTCTAACTAAATAAATGCTGATGCAGTGTTAAACTTTTCACTTACTAATATTTTGTTTTAAGCTGTGTGAACACAGATAAGAGTGAAAAAATTAATAATTAAGATTAAACATTAAATTAATAATATTAATTAAATAATAAATATAATATTTTGGCCTACTAGTATAAAGTTTTTTTCTCTTGCCTCTTTCTGTTATAACTTCTGTAAGTTGTAAGAAGTTTCCACTTGCCTTATTTTTTATTGGTAGCTTGTCTGTTGGCTACTTTATTATAAGAAGATGATTATAACGTCATGGCAAGCATCTGAAGAGTATTATTATAACAAACAAACAGTGTATAAACACACGTGAATTTTTACACACATTTATTTTTGCCATTTTTTTTCATTTGTGGTATTGTGAAATATATAAACACTAATTTTTAAAGATGAAAAAAATTTAATGTGGCATTATTGCGATAGGGAAGAACATAGATTTGAGATAGTCTTGAAGTCTTTATTGTTCTCACCCATTATAAGTTTAAAATCTAGTAGAGCCACAATCAAAATCCACTGTTGAATAAACAAAAAATAAACATAAAGAAATAATGGCTGTGAAGAACATATGTTAATATCTAAATGAAATAAAATGTTATTTTAACATCATTATATATGATGACTTTTCAAAAACAGAAATAAGCACACACACACACACACTCTCACTTATATATACATCTAAATAAAATAAAGATGTACATTACACATACATACTATCATACATAAACCACACACACATGTATAATTCATGCATACATATAATAAAATAATACTGATAATAAATAATCTTAATCAAGCACACCTACCCAGACGTCTATACAGACTGTAAACACATATAAATACTTTCATGTTCATTAAAATTGTCACACAAAGTATAGTAATAACCACTACTATATATTAACCTGACAATATAAATATATTTAGTTCACGCTTACATTTAAACACTCATTTGCTTATACACATTCTTGTCTATACACAAATTGCTTACACATAAAATTAAATTAATAATAGAAATTCTATAATAAAACAAACCATCACAAATACAATTGTGTACATCCCATCACATCATACATACAATATGTATAAACACAATCGTAACATGAAGTGTAACAAATAGATACATAACCATTTGAATAAATAAAACAATAGAAAAAGAAAACTTCAGTGAAATAACGGTATCATAATATATATTGAAATAAAAATATACAGTATTTTGTTAATTATAATTATAATAAATAACCACAAACAAAATAATGAAGCTAATGGCAATCATTCTGCAATCGTTGAATAATAAATTAAACAAACATATAACGTCCAACAAACATTTACTGTTTATCATTTATAACAATCATATTCAAATTTCCAAATGATTCTCTTCAGTTCAGAGCCACTTGATATCCAACATCTTTTTTTGGTGGCATCCATTAACAAGCAGCTCATTTCAAATCCCACCTTGCAACAAATTTATAACTGATTTAAAAACACTAAGGTTTGCATTTATACCTATTACAGCATATGTTTAGCTGTTCTTTTAATCAATTTTGAAATTTTAGTGTAAAGTAACTAAAAATAAACTGTCTGTTTAAGTTTGGTAGGAGTTTGACTTGTCTATAGTTGATAAATTTAACTATTTTACATTTGAAATACCTTTACCTTTACTGTACCTTTGAAATACAGTTAGCTTCAGTATGACTATATGCAGTCACGACTCTACAAGTTCCCACATGGCTGCTTGTTACTACATTCACATCGTTATTTTATATAATGCAACTCTGTCATTGCTTACATGTTATTGTATACTTGTAAATTGAACTTTAGTGCCACAAAGGCTGTACTATCCACACGACACTCATACACTTTACGACACTCATACACTTTACGTATGCACATGTGATGGTCTTGAGTTTCAATATCAAATTACTTCATTAAAGACAATTAGGCACAATATATTAAACAATTGCTGACGTGCAATTATTTTGCAGTATCAAGCTAACTGTTGAAACCAGATTTAATTTGTTGGCTTAACTTGTTAACTATAAGTAGAATAAAATTTAATTGAAGCTGCTTTGCAGAGGATGCTAGTTCTGCCCTTACTATATTTAAATTATTACTTTTAAAGCCATTACAATACATTACAATAGCCATTGTTTTGTGTTATATATATATATATGTATGTATGTATGTATGTATGTATGTATGTATGTATGTATGTATGTATGTACATACTATGTATATTCATATTTATAATGTATATGAGTGTTTGCTTGTCTGGGTTTGCACCACATAGAGTCTCTTCAACGATTTCTGTAGGATGATGGTTCATGTATTTTGGTTGTTTAGCTGTCTTGTACTGCCATGGAATTTATCTCTTTTTGGGGTGCTGTTCCTTAGTCCAATGATTTACACTTTTAGCATTGCTAACACTAACAAAATTTATATCTAATCTTTCACATGTTATCTGTTTTTTGCCATTGTTCACCTTTGTTCTTACCTTATAATTTTGAAAATTATTCACTAGTCTGATATATTTCCAATAACATTCTTTCGTCCTTTTTTCGAATTATTCACAATTGTTTTGATGATTTGGCTACAGTGTTATGGTCAACTGGGTATTTTCAAATGTTAGAGAACTAAGGTTGTTGTTTGTTAAAATTTTTCATTAATGAAGGAAAGATTTATGTTAAGTTGGATGTAATTAATTTTTTTTAAATTTTGACAGGTTACTATTATTATTTGTTCGTTTCTGTGGCGTCCATTATTTTCGGCCCTGTGCTAGGTTTGCAGTCTTATTTATTATCACCGATAACTTTAATACTAAATATTTCTTTAAAATGCTATTCATTGTAATCTAATTATATAAGATGTGACATCTAATTTTTACATTTTCTTTTTTCATTTGGCAGAGAGCTGCAGAATCTAAGTCAATTATTTTTTTTCCATTAATATCACCCATTTATTTATTAATTATTATTTTACTTTATTTATTTATTTTTATTTATTTATTTTACTCAAAACAATGAAGATCAGCCAATTGAACAAGGAACCATCTTACGTCAATTTATTTACTATTTTGATTATTATTATCATCATCAACATCAATGAACATTTCAATGGAACAGAAATACAGTCCTTACAATTTAATTGTCAATTTTCTGCCGCAGAACCTCACCGATGAAGAGTTTGCATCACTGTTTAGTCGCGTTGGTCCCGTTAAGTCGTGCAAAATTATCAGAGACAAGTCAACCCATATAAGCTATGGATTCGGATTTGTTGAGTACATTGATGAAAGTGATTCAGCAAAAGCAATAGAGGCGTTAGATGGTCTAACTCTTCAGAACAAACGCATCAAGGTAGCATATGCCAGACAAGGCGAAAACATAAAGGGAGCCAATGTTTACATCAAGTATCTTCCCAAAAATTTTGATAACAATGATTTAGAAAGGCTGTTCAGTCCGTTTGGTAACATAATCTCAGCCCGTGTTCTCCTGGATCAACACACTGGCATGTCACGAGGCGTTGGGTTTGTATTGTTCAACACTCGAGATGAGGCAACACATGCAGTTGAAAATATGAATGGGAAAGCACCGCAGGGTTACACTCAAGCACTTTCTGTTAAATTCGCTGAAGATAACAAAGCCCAAAAAATGCAACAACACGCCCTGATGTTGGGAATAGTCCCAGGTTCACTAAGAAATAATTCAGTCATCCAACCCGCAGGTCTGGCACTAGCTCAGCAACAGAGGGCCAGATTGCAAACAGCTGTTGCTTCATCTGTTCTAGGCCGCCAACAAGTTTCGACGATAAATAACTTTGGAGTTGGTTACCAAGGAGTATTCGGAGGAGGTCCGTTGAGATCAAACACCATCAATCAACGTTATAATCCTTTATCGACTTACACCATTTCAGGTACTAATCCTATCAATGGACAGGTTGGAGACATTTCTGCAGCTTTCCCTAACAACAATGAATACGTTCTGTTTGTCTATAACATTGGTACAGAGGCAGATGAAAGATCTCTCTGGCAACTTTTCCAACCATATGGGGCCATCAAGAAGATTGCAGTCGTGCAAGATAAAGATAAAAATAGAGGCAAGAATTATGGATTTGTGACTATGTTTGATTACCAAGAAGCTCTCTACGCCATTCAGCAGCTCAATGGTGTTACCTTTGCTGAAAAGCCATTGCAAGTTTCATTGAAGAAGCCAAAAAATGGTTAATATGTTTCATAATTGCTAAACTTTTTCAAGTTCATAAATTGGTATTTTTTAGCAAAGTAAAAATATTTTTAGTTTGATTTGCCTTTATAAAAATAGATGGCAGATAGTTAATTAAGTGTTACTTGTTTTATTTTCAGGTGTTTGAATGTGTCAGACAATGTAATTGAGCCCGTTGTTACCAACCAAGCAGTCTTATGAATTTCTTTTAACGTTTTTTCTTTTTTGTTGTCAGTTGAAAGAATTTTTTAATGCATATATTACTTGTAACAGAATAAAAATTGTGAGAAATATAAAACATGTTTATTGCATTTCTTTCTTTCATTCAATCTTTTATTAACCAACCATATATTTGACATTTGGATTGTAATAAATTCCACAATAATAATGATTTATAAGTAATAAAGATAATATTGAGTGATAATGAGACGAATCTTTATTTCATGCACGTTGTGTTTCGACGATCGTTCTGACCATACCAGTGATTTGATTTAATTTAAAAAAAATGAAAACCGCTTTTCATATTGATTGTTACCATAGTTTCTATCAACAAATTCTTACATTAACTAAATCACATTATTGATTGCTGTAAAAGAGACAACGAAACATCAACCAAAGCATACTGGTCCGAGTTCGAACCCAAATTGCTGTTGGGGTTTTCCGTAATCCTTCGGCTTGAAATCCACTATAGGGAGTTGGCTCGTTTTGCTTGTTACGTAGTTGAAAACTGTTGAGCCACTTGAGTCTCGGCTCTGAATCAGGTTTAATGGTTAAAGGTACTTTGTTTGAAATGGTCTCAGGTGAGATTATTTTCAATTTAGCGAAATCAAGGTTTTTGAATTACTGAAAAAATCAGCAGTCGTTTACAACGAAATAAATTCAAAAGTAATGTTTCATTTTAAAGCAAAAAATGTTTTCCCCTTACTTTGCAACCGTCATCAACGACGGCGGACCTGTCGAAGTTCTTTGTCTCTAGTTCGTCCTCGTTGTCCCCGAGCAGAGCAATGGCGCTACCGTGGTTCTTATTGGCACTGTCGTACCAGGCTACTGTCTTCTCGCATTTAAATGTGAACTTCTGTTGGGCTTTTGTGTAGAGGAGACGTAGGAAAGTCATTTGTACATCGTCGGCATACTTCAACTGTTGGGTGGTTTATAATTTTTTTATCTTTCAAAAGATTTTCAGAAGAATCGAGTACGCCTAGGAGAAAACTGAAAATGTAAATGACAAGAGTAAAAATTATTTTAAGGGACATGATGGCGGTAACATGAATAGCGTATCGACAACAAAAACAACTTATTTATTCAGGGGGATTGATTAATTGACTGATTGGTTTAAAAAATTATTACAGACTGAAAATTAATCAACAAATTAACCATATGTCCACCAGGAAGTTCGCTAAACCACTTGTCTTCTGATTCGTCTTTTGGGAAGAACTGAGTTGGTACCTGTATTAAATGTTAGCGTTCGTTAAAATGTGACGTTTGTGTATAGTACGGCGTGTAATCGCTTAATTTAAGAACCGTAAAGATTTTTAAAATTCTAATTTTAAAAGCTAAAGAGTTAGGACGCAAATAAAATGAGAAGAATTGGATCAAATATCGCAAATTCACGTACGTAATGAATTTATAAGTTATGAAAGATAAAGATACGAACGGATGGTGTCTGTGGGTACACGCAGGTTTGTCCGTTGGTCGACATGTTGCAGTAGACATGAATGGCGTTGTTGGGGTTGCCCAGATCTGGATCCACCCAGTACCAACCTATAATTCGTAAATTGGTATAGTTAAGTCTACTATTATGAGCCAAATAAAAAAAATGTCCTGGAAAACAAATCTTACCATCTTCGCTGTCAGGTCTAACAAGTTTGATGTCCCTGCAAGACCTGGCAGGTTGAGCCTTGGTTCCAGTTGGCTCTTTATAAGCTTTGATTTCTTCGCGTAAATCGACAACAACATTTAATACTTGGGCAGCTGCCAGAGTAATTTTTTTCTCTTCAGTGAGTCTGTCTTTACTTCTGGAGCTTGGTGCTTCTGTGGTTGTTGAAGTGGTGGTGGGAGCTTCAGTGGTAGACCTTCTCTGTCTTGCACGTTGCTGCTTGCCATTGACGGACCTTTTGCTTCTGATGGCTTCTCCTTCTTTGAGTGGCTCGGTGTCTTGAGTTTCGTCGTCATCGTCGTCTTCATCGCCGTTTTCTTCGTCATCTTCATCTTCGTCCTCATCTTCCAAGTCTGTGTAGTCGTGACCGAAGAAGTACTGGATGGCTTCGAAGTCGTCTTCTGCAGGTCCCGGTGCTCCCTTGGTTGTAGAAATAATTGTGGTTGCGAACATTAGGGATGGTTAACATGTAGAGGAAGATATAGATAAAAATATACTATGTACACGAATCACAAGCACACGAGACACAAAATTCTTACTGGAGGTCCTGGAGGTCCGGGAGGTCCAAGCTCTCCCTGTGATATTGTTAATTATAGATGGCCATTATAAAAGTAAACAGTAAACACGATTGGTTGCTATGAATGCGTTAGGGTTAATAAGTAAGTAACAAGTAGACAGCATTTTGTTATTTCAATTTGATATGGAAATTAGGTTTATGATTCAGTGACAAGCATTGATTGCTGTTTATCGAGTAAGCTTGGCTAGACAGCGATAGAAAAAAAGTGGAATATTGTGTGCATCTACCTCAGGATGTTTGTTAAAAAGTTACAAAGTTAACGCTAATTGTTGTGATTGTAGCATGTGAACCGTGATTTGGTGAACATGATGCTAAAGATACGACAAAGCAGCAGTAGTGGTTTAGAGGAAAGTTATGACGACAACGATGATGAGAAGGATGAGGATGATCGTGGTATCAATGATAATGATGATGATAAACGAAAGTGATGATGATGA